GCTGGAACACATGTTAAAGTATAACTCAAAAGTTCACCTCAGAGTTGGTGTGCAGGTTGATGCAGTCCAGTAGAATGCCTCCAGAGTTAATTTAAAAACTCAGTCTACAGTCAATCAATTTGACAACTCTGTCTGTCTGCTGACTTACTCACTGCCCTGTGCTCATTGATGCTGGTCTGATGATTACTGGGAGTGACCGTCAGGTGTAGCCTCGACACAGATACTGGGCATTGACATGGTAAACTCCTCTATATGTAATAAAGCAAGCATGGTCGATGGAATTATTGGATAAACAGAACGCATTAAAGTCTCTGTGAATTAATTAACGTGACTAACCTGTTAATTTCCTTTGTTTCATTTAATAATAATTCTGCACAAAACAGTGAGTGTTGTACAATGAACCGATTTCAGGAGATGGAGGCAGTTAGTGGCAGCTGGTGGAGCAGCTGAAGATGGTGATGAAGATGATGATTAGCAGGCAGTGATTGTTGGAAAAATAAAATAACAAAAATAGGGCAAAGGTTTAACAACCATTATGGTCCAAATGTGGAACAGTATTTAAGCTTGATGAAATGTTTTGTACTGTAAACTCAAAGCTATTTTTAGAATGACAGGAGGGCAACAAAGTCAGATTTAAGGGGGTTTAGATAGAGAGCACAGACTAGAGTGTTAATTATTAATACACAGCAGTTTGCAAAGAAAAACAAACACAAGATGCTGGTCTAAATAAAGGAATAAGCTGAAGGACCAGGTAAATCAAAAGAGAAAGCAAAGATAACAAGCATCCCAAAATCCAGGATGTAGTAATCCAACCACGAGATTACTACATCAGCGCAAGACACACTGCAACTGCAGTCAAAAGTGTGAATAACACAGAAGGTGACCAGAGGCTTGGTGATCTCCTTATATCCAGACCCTGACCATTCAGCTGTGTTCAGCTTCAGCTTCGGAGAAATAACAATATTATCCGCTGCTCCTCAGAGCTACAAGAGATGATTGTCAGCATCCAGCCAGTAGGGGCGCTAAGAGTCCGTTACCTGCTATTGGTCAAAATTCCATGATGCAATATATATATAAAAAAACAAGTATAGCCCATCTAATCCGATACCTAAGGCCAAAGTCTTATCGTTTGTGAAAAATAAAGGTCATGTTCACACTGAAATATGTGGCTGTTCTTCTTCAACCTCTCTCTTTATCTTGTATTGTCTCCTTATGTCATTAGTTTAACATCCTGGTGGACACAGGTAGCAGCAATTTTGCTGTTGGAGCAGCTTCTCATCCCTTCCTGCATCGATACTACCATCGTTCCCTGTGAGTACCAACTGATGATACTGATCAAAACTTGAATTGCCTTTTGTTTTTAGGTTTTGCAATTACAATTAAGAGCAAAGCTACTAAAAGGCAACTTTGGAATTTAACTCACAACCCTTCTATATTAGTTTTTTTTTTGCCTGTTGTTAATACATAATAATGATATTAATTCTTCTCTTCCATTCACAGTTCAAGCTCATATTGTGATCTTGGCAGGAGTGTATACGTTCCCAACACACAGGGTCGCTGGGAGGGTGAACTGGGGACCGACCTAGTTTCTGTCCCATATGGTCCCAATGTGACTTTGCGTACCAACATCGCTGCTATAACCCAGTCTGATCGCTTTTTCATTAATGGATCTAACTGGGAGGGAATTCTGGGATTGGCCTATGCTAATATAGCCCGGGTAAGGACAGTGTATAACCAAGGACAGTTACTATAAGTTCTAGTTTAGACCTGTATGTCCATGTCGTTCCTCCTGTCAACATGATGACAGCATTAATTAGTTTAATTAGTAGACGTGGAGAAAATCAGTTAGTTGTTGTAGTTGTTGTACTACTTTTATGACAGTGTAGTGTCTCAGTGTGACTGTGGCCATGCCCTAGGCTTGGTAGAGAGACCAAGAGAGAGAGAGAGAGAGAGCATTTTGGCTAGTAATTCATTGATAATTGCTGCTAATTCTGCCACATAGTTTTGGTTGTTAGGAGGTCAATCTTTTCAGCACCATTCTCTTCATGTGTTTCTTCAGCCTGATGAGACACTGGAGCCTTTCTTCGACTCCCTGGTCCGTCAGACTCGTGTTCCCAACATTTTCTCTCTCCAGCTGTGTGGAGCTGGCTTCACCCAAAACTACACCCTGAGCAGTTCTTCTGTTGGTGGCAGCATGGTAAGATACGACGACACAGGCAGCATGCTGAATGTATCAAATGTCGGTGCTTGATCATACTTTCGTCCGTGTCTAGATCATTGGAGGAGTGGACCCGTCACTGTATGTAGGAGACCTGTGGTACACTCCTATTCGCAGGGAATGGTACTATGAAGTTATTATAGTTCGTATCGAGGTGAATGGACGGGACCTAAACATGGACTGTAAAGAGGTAAAATGGGATTTGCCAAGTTGGATATAGTCACTGGTACTGAAACGTATGCATTCTTTTGTTTTTGTTTTTGACTATGTCTGTCTTCAACAGTACAACTATGATAAGAGTATTGTGGACAGTGGAACCACCAATCTCCGGCTGCCCAGAAAGGTTTTCCAGGCAGCAATCAAGGCCATTGAAGCAGCCTCTTCAGTTAGTCTGGACAAACATTTTTCTGTTACAGAAAAAATACTCTTTGTGGAATATAAAAATATACACTAACCGGCTCTTCTTTCTAGACAGAGCAGTTTCCCACTGGATTCTGGCTGGGAGAGCAGCTCGTATGTTGGCAGGCGGGCACGACACCCTGGCACATCTTTCCAGTCATCTCTTTGTACCTGATAAGTGAAAAACACAACCAGTCCTTCAGAATCTCCATTCTCCCGCAGGTACCAATATTATTGTCCTGATATAAGCATATCATGTCATATCTGTAAGAATTTGTATCGGTTTTTCCTCCGATAATGAAAACCCAATAAGGCAATGCCTGGGTTTCGCCAAATGATGTGTGTCCTGAAAATAGTTTGGGGGATAAATGGATGTATATTAAAAAGAAAGTCACTAGATGGCAGCATTGTAGCTCATTTAATTAACCTCATACTCATACAGTGGAAAAATAAATAAATATTACCAGGCCTATATCGGTTGATATTGGAATTGGAAATTACGTTTTTGGACAATATCGGCCTATCGGATTCATTGGTTATAGTAGTAGTCTAGAATGTCTTCTATATATGACGTATGATATGATATATGTTAATCACAGGGAAGTGTCAGGTTTTGCTATTGCTTTCGTAAGTCAGTCCTCAGCTGTCACTATTCACCCCATCCAACCAGCCAATCCATTGTTCTACAATACAGTCCTTACCAATAAAGTCTTTATACCATTTACCCAAAATTACAAAGTGAATTAAGCAACATGACACATCTCTTACAATAAAGTTAAGTTAGCAAAACACTGTGACAAGGTTTTCAACAAGGTGGTCACATCCTGTGTTATTGTAAATCTAACGTCTGTCTCATCTTTTCTTCATGACAGCAATACCTGCGACCAGTAGAGGATGTGGCTTCAGCCCAAGAGGACTGTTATAAGTTTGCTGTGTCCCAGTCCAACACTGGTACAGTGATGGGGGCTGTCATTATGGAAGGCTTCTATGTGGTTTTTGACCGGGAGAGAAAAAGAATTGGCTTTGCAGTTAGCACGTGCCACGGTAAGGATGATGAGGTGCAATTGAAAAAAACAAATCAGAACTAGGTAAATAAATACTAAGAATAAAACAGGCCTGTAAAGGTCCAGCATGTAAGAATTAGTCAGTCTATGTTTGTTCAAACAAAATCTAGAGGTTTCCCCTTCTTATTAAACCTAACCTAGCCTTATGACCTGGAACTTATAAGAGAGTCCATGGGGTCATCAGAATATTACTGTGTAAACTTAGGAAGTAACAGCCTCCTTAAGTAATTACTTATGAATCCACCAGAGTGCACTGTTTCACACAGTGACAGATCAGACAATTATTTATGATCTTACTTACTTTTTTAAAAACAAAAACCTAACAAGATGGATGTGTATCCTATTTATATATGCCATATATGCCTATATATTTTCTAAATATCAGGCTGGATAACCTCAACGATTTTGGTGAGACAAACATGACATTATGATACAAACAGTGAAGTGTAAACATTCTGAGACCTTGTATAAAAGTCTCTAGCAATATAACCTTTTTATATATTTTAGAATAAAAACTAATTTCAGAATGTGTAGTCATATGTCATGCGTAGTTATTCAGAAATGCTAAAGAACCAGATACTGGTTTGAATTGAATGCACTGTATCAGAACTATGCAGAATATCTGTTTTGCTGGCGTTTGTTTTGCTAGTGTCTAAAAAGTACAATTCTTTGACTTGTAGTGCACGATGAATTTCGCACAGCCTCTGTAGAGGGTCCCTTTCACGGAGTTGCTTTGGAGGACTGTGGCTACAACATACCTCAGACAGATGAGTCCACGCTCATGGTAATTGCCTACATCATGGCAGGAATCTGTGCTCTCTTTATGCTGCCTTTATGTCTCATGGTGTGCCAGTGGCATTTTAACCGCTTCCTCAACCCACACAGAGACTTTGCTGATGATATATCACTGTTGAAATGAAGTGGAGAAAGAGCAGGACAAATAAGGTTCAAGGTTCAAGCCAATCTTATAACAATGCTGAGACTGTTGAGTATTGATGTGATGAAAGGAAACGTACAAAATGGTAGGGAATACAGACTGTAACGCATGACAACGTCGACTTTAGCAATCGATGCCATCTATGCATCAGTGTCCTCAGAAAGTGGGAAAATGTCAAACAAAAGAGAATTATGTATTGTATAAAATTTATATCAAAACTATACAGAGCAGATTTGGATTTTGAATATTGCTCCCCACCTAGAGCTTTGAATTTAAGAAGAAAGTCAGAATAAAATTTGTGTTTAAACCCTCAAGGTGGCTCCACAGTTCTGATTTCTATGGCATAGACATCACAGAAGATAATAATTGAACATGCCTCCGACTTTACATACAGCATTTATTAAAAGAAAATATCAATGAATAATCAATGAATAACAACTGATTTGATCACAGATCAACATGAATTAGCATTTAATGAGATTAATCGGTGTCCCATAGATGTAAAATAACAATGACAATTCAAGATCACCTGCCTAAACATTCAGATTATTCATAACTTGGCTAAATGGAACGTGACAAAGATGGGAGACACTCTTTTACTATATATAAAAACCCAAAAACAGCAAAACCAAATGTGGTGGCCACCAGCTGGGGAGAGAGATGAGAGACAGAGAGACAGAGAGTGAAAAGAGAGGGAGGCTGGTGTTGCCAAGAATTCCATTAATGTCTTTACTTGTATTTTCCATACAGCTTAACAGTTAATTTTTCTAAATTGTATACTTTGACATGAAAGATCCCCACATTAAGTTATACTCTGAAGAGCTCAATGCTGTATGCTAATGTGTTCTTAAGACTGTGTGTATATATATTTGACAGGCACCTGCGACTCTTGGCTCAATAAAGACATTGCGTTCTGTGTACATTAGGGCTGTAACAGTGCAAGTATTAATATGCTGTACAAGTACAGGCATGTACCGAACACAATTTTAGTAAACGTGTGAAACCGCAAGTGTGACAAGGGGAACCGTGGTAATGGAGAGAAGAACGAAGTACAACTTCCTCATCAACACATTAGTGGCGACACACAATTGCTGCTCACTCAAGTCCTTCAGTTTCATCTTCCAATAATTTCAAATTAATTAGCAGGCGAGCCCAATATGGTGAATGGAAGTGATCTATTTCAGGTCTTATTCTTTCTTCCCGTAAACCAATGTCCTAGTGGAAGAGGTAAATGAATGGAGTGATGAAAGCATGTTTTTTGTTCTTGGTGACTCACTTGAATTGACAGAATATGGATATGAATGGTACCAGAAAGAAAAGGAGCAAAGGAGCACTGGAAACTCCTGGACATATGAGAAGCACACATCAGACAGAGCAGCTGAGAGAGGCATATATAAATATATATATATATATATAAAATGCAGAATATATGGTAAAAGATAAAAATATTTGGGTGAGAGATGAAATAAAATAAATATATGTTCATGAAAAGTGACAGTTCAATATATACATATGTGTATATATATATATACATATATATATAAAATAGAAGGTTTCATTCAAGATGGGGTGGTGGGTTGATGTGTCTGCGTTTTTCCGTGTGTCCTACTTAAACCTGGTCTGATTAGTTTGATAATGATTTTACATGTCACATTTTTTTCTGATTCTTTTTTTTTGAGTTTGTTTTTCTTCTTTTTAATTTAATATGGGATTGTTAATAGTCCCTAATACAAAGAGAAAATGTTCAATGTTCAAAGTGAGAATGTATAAACAAAGAAAGATGGGATGTTAAAATAAAGTATATGACGGATGGTGTAATGGTGGTCTTTAAAAAAAACAGATCATTGTTTACCTTGTTCCTCTGTACGGTCAACTTGTCTCACTGTTTTGTTAAAAATAATTGGAAAATAGAATGAGTCTAAGCAGCAGAGATAAAAGATATTATCAATCTGTCCAGAAAAGAAAAGATTAGGACTGGATAAAGACTGGACGACAAGACCGGACTGAGGGACTCAAATGCTGGACACAGCTGGGAGTAAACAACAGTGACAAGGCGAGATAAGAACATGACAAACGAGAACTAGACAAGGTCATTGTCCAAACAGTAATTAATGTGTATGTGTTTCTTAGAAGAGTGGGGAGGACAGAGTACTCAGTGTATCATGGTTCCCTCAGTAGTCTAGGTTGTTAGCACCATAACTAAAGATAAATGGGATGGCCTGTGGACAAAAACTGGACAAAAAATTATTTGGTATATATAATAGTTTATAGTGCCAATAACTGACTCCGTTATAGAAGCATAGGAACAAGTGGAGGACTACAACTCCTGTCCTGGTCTCGTGGAAATTTCAAACCCCGGAGAAATTAAAATATGTACATTGAAAGTTCTGGGCTCATGAAAAGGACCTGCGTTTATGTCATCACTGCAACCCTGACACCACAGATATCACATACAAATCTATGGTCTTTACTTAATACAAATACAATGTGGATTGTTTGTTGTTCCTGGTAGCAAGCATGATCATATTGACCTTTGACCTCCTACAAATAAATATATTAACAAATTAACTCCAATTAATTGTATTAATATATCTGCCTCGGGACATTATCAACGTTGGTCTTTTATAAGCCATTCACTGCACTATTCTGTTGTGATTTAGTTATAGAACCTACCTTCTACGAATAGCACACCAGCAGTACTTCTATGCGGCACACTACATTTACGGCTATAATCTGTAACGTACTGGGAGTGTTGGGTTGTGTTCATGTGTTATTGCACTGGTGTTCCGTCTAAATGACAGTTATGCAGTGCTTTGAACGCACCATGGTTCACGGGCAGTGTTTCTGTTTTTGGAGGAAAAGACAGAATGTGTTTGAGTTCTGTTCAAAGCTGTGGGCTGTGATACTACGTCAACGGCAAAGGCGTTAATGTCCAAGCTGATAAATTGAACGTGTTTCTTATAAATTCACAAGCTGCCTTACAGTTGTTTTATGAACCGCACATGTTGGGGTTTTATTTTAAATATAAACCAGCAGTTTCGGTTGTAAGTACCCCTATGAAAGTTAAACAGAAGCTACAACTATAACTTACATGTTATCCTTTTACACTTGTTCCTTCAGGAAAATCTGTACTGACCGAAAGAAATCCGCATAAGTTTTAACTAAAGAGGGTGTGCTGGGCTTTTGTGTATTTCCTGTTATTGCTTTGGACCAATCAGAAGAAAGGACACATTGCGCAGCTGCTGGGTGACGTTGTTGCACTTCATCTGTGACTGTGACCTGTACAACGCGGAAGTAAGATGGACGGGTTGTTTTTAAAGAATTGACAAATAGTAAATCAGTAAACGAAGAACATGTCATAAAGGTAAGATAAAATAGCTTATTGTAACTATATAGGAAACATCAGTTATCACATTACTTTACTTAGAATTAAACAGCGTCTTCGTTTATTAGTTCTATAAAACGTGTTCAAACTTTTTACGACGACAGCGTTGGAGATTATCTGAAAGGTCTGATTCGTAAGATGAAAATCTTTGAAATGATTTGAATTTTCCTTTTAAGCTATTTCGCGGTTCTTCAAATCGTTGGGTCGGTATCGACTATTTCCCCATATATATTTGCTTGAAGCTGGTGTGCCTCTCATAATATTGCCGAATCCAGGTTTAATAGTAAATGGTGACTGACATTTACTGTTAGTACAGTCACACAGGGCGTTGAAGGGCCAACATCAGAGTTGTAGGAACAACTTTATCATCAGTATTGGATGTTAAAAGAAGTCTGCCGATTTATGAATAACAAAATGAGGAGAGAAAACGGGGGAATGGAAAAAGAGGAGACTAGGTTATTGTCATGACAATGTTTGTGTTTCTTAGAGAGTGGGAGGGGGAAAAGTGTTCAGTGTACCATGGGGGATTTTTTTGAATCAAATTACAAGAGGTGGTTTTAAGAAGCAGTTAAAATGCATTTCTATAGAAAAACCACCAATTTGGACATGGGATTTGTAGGTTCATCTGACAACTAACATGACCCTTTTCTGTTATTGCCTTATGCCCAGGTTCCTGTCCATTTAAGGAGGAGTTGGTTGGACTGGATGACTGTCCATGAATGATGCTTTTGTGGCTATGGCAACATTATTTTTCCTCAAATTACCAATCCTTCTCCTGTTAGCCTCAATCCTTTTGCTCTTGAACATCTTGCCTTTTGGTTTACCATCAGTCCCTTTTGAGTACTCCTTACTTCATGACAGACAGACATGTGGTCCAGGTGAATCGTGGGCTGTCCATCTCCATGCTGGTTCATACAGTGAAGATCCAGACAGCAGCCAAAGCTCAACTTCACTGGAAGAAATAGCCAACAGGGTACATAAATGCTAATTTTATTATCATTTACTCTGTTACTGTACATACTGTGTGTGTGTGTGTGTGTATATATATATATATATATAAAATATGTGTGTGTGTGTGTGTGTGTGTGTTGATCATCATTGCAGGTAGCGGAGCAGGCAGGACTACAAAATTTGGGTCAGATTGGAGAACTGCGTGGCCACTTCTTGCTGTGTTCTGTGAAGACTAGTGTTGGTTCTGTTGGGGTTGCTGAAGATTCCCTAGCATCCCATCCCCACGTCCTGTGGTTTTCCCGAGAAAAAACTCTTAGGCGGTCAAAGCGATCGATCATCTTCAATGACCCTGAGTATCCTAAACAGTGGCATTTGGTCAGTATACATTTAACGTTTAATGTATTAAATTTAAACTGCACATTCACATGATCCCTGATAGAGACTTGATCACTAGGGTAGAGAACAAACATGGTAACATGTTTGTTCTCTACCCTAGAACGTGGAAACTTGCATTCCACGTTGCCTTCTGCTAACTTGTTTTAACACTGTTTTCTCAAATCCAAGCTTTCAGAAGTGACTTAAACACCAACCAACAACCAGAATTATTGATAACACTTCTACTCCAAAAGCTAAGGTTAAAAATAACCAATGTAACTTGACTCGGTTTAAAAATGCCATGTTTTATTAAAATTTACTGATGCAACTTAAAAAGCAGCCAATCACAGACCTGCTGTCACAACCCTGGGTTAATTTAACTCTGCCTTGTCAAACTTCCTCTTACAAGATTTTTCTTTAACTTAACAATTTCCTTTTCTGTGTTTCCCTCGCAGCACAATGACGTAGAAAAAGGAATGGATGTCAACTTGACTGGAGTGTGGGAGCGCAACGTAACTGGCCAAGGGATCACAGTGGTTGTGGTTGATGACGGCGTGCAACATACACATCCAGACATTCAGCCCAACTATGTAAGTCACACAGCACAAAAAGTAGTAAAATATATCAGAGGAGCAGATATGGTTTAACAGAAGAGAAGATATTGGATAAGAGATGTTGGTGATCAAGCTGCAAGATGGGAGAAAAGGAAGAAGACCCCAGTGGAGAGGTAGTGTTGATGTTTGTGTTTTTGTATTTTACCTAGAGTCCAGAAGGCAGTTTTGACCTGAATTCCAATGACCCAGATCCCATGCCTCACCCCGATACTCACAGTGACAATCACCATGGGACCAGATGTGCAGGAGAAATCGCTGCTGTGCCCAACAACAGCTTCTGTGCTGTGGGGGTAGCCTTTGGCAGCAAGGTGGCCGGTACGGACGGTCGACTTAAATCTGAAAACACCAGGATTAGAACCTTAGTTGTTGTGAAACGTTGTGTAAAACTTGGGTTTGTACCATCAGGTATCAGGGTTCTGGATGGACCACTGACAGATAGCCTGGAGGCCATAGCCTTCAATAAGCACTACCAGGTGAATGACATCTACAGCTGCAGGTAACCACACATTGTTCTTTTACCTGGTGTATGCATACATGATTGATATTGTTATATATTAATATAACTTTAAAGATTATTTGTATGAGGTCCTGTCTATAGCATTCACACCAGCTACAGCTGTTAAACATATCAAATAACCAGATGCTGTTCAAATACTAAAAATATGATTTGGGACAGCTTTTTCAGATGTGCATAGTTGATATTGAGCTATACTTTTACCCAAATTTTAGATTGAGGCTTGTTTTGGTTTTTGTGATTTTTATTGAACAGTACTCACAACTGGTATGTTCATACAGCATCAGTTGGGTTAGAAATGAAAAAGCTGCTTTAATCCAGTTTCTTTACAATATTCTTAAAACACTTGATCTAGGATTCGTCTGACAGGAAGTTGGTTTAAAGTTAAATAACACAAGCTCATTGTCCTCAGTCTTTATAAGAGTACATGTTTAGTACTAGATCTGGATCAGAAGGCTAACAAATAAATAATCACTAAGTTTAAAATCTGATGTTATTTAGAATTTACTTGATTTGTCCACCCTTACCTCTCCTACTTACCTCAACTTCATCACTAGTTGGGGTCCAGACGATGATGGTCACACTGTCGACGGACCTCACCCCCTGGGAAAGGTTGGAATGATAGTTTTTATATTAATAATATTTCAGTTCCAGAAATCTAGTGTCTCTCTGATATTCTTTTCCTGGGCCCTGACTGTTGCCTTTGTTTTCCCTCACAGGCTGCACTACAGCACGGGGTGATTGCAGGCAGACGAGGCTTTGGAAGCATCTTTGTTGTTGCTAGTGGCAATGGAGGCCAGTACAATGACAACTGCAATTATGATGGCTACGCCAACTCCATCTACACCATCACAGTTGGTTAGAATGACACACACCACGTGGCAGGAGTATGTACCTCATCCTACAGAGTGTAAATGGGTGCACGTAATGTTTGTATGTTTGTGTGTGTGTGTGTGTTTCAGGAGCAGTTGATGAGAACGGCAGGATGCCCTTTTATGCCGAGGAATGTGCAGCGATGCTTGCTGTGACTTTTAGCAGTGGGGGTAGCAAACTGAGGAGCATTGTAGGTCTCTCTCTCTCTCTCTCTCTCTCACACACACACACACACACACACACAACATGCCTTGTGGGACCACACAGCCCATGATTCATCCAAAGACAGTGGTAAAATTAACTTTATTTCCTACATCCTACATGCCTGTTCACAGTACAATACAGAACTAATTTTATTTTATTTTAAATGGTGTTTAAATGTTTTAAAACAAAGAAAAAAAAACAATAATTTGAAACTTATTTCAAATTATTGTTTTTTTTCTTTCATATACATTTTCAAGAATCAGATCAAGGTTATTGAGATGAGTAAGTTATACTGGTTTAGTGGGTGATAATCTGGTATACTGTGGCTTTCTCCCTTAAATTCGAAGGTTTCGGTTCTTTTTATTCAAAGCTTTTATTTATTTACTGTAGATGCAAACTTTTTTGGAGTAGTAGATAGTAGAGTAAAAGACATTCTTTTTACAAGTCAGTATCTAGAGTCTCAATCAGCTACAACACATGCAACCGTTTCCGTTTTGTTTTTTAGCTAAAACATGTATTACAGACTTGTATTATCAGTGTATACACAAATACACGGTAAATTCGACACATTACCAAGGTAACCAACAGTGCATGGGTTTCATTTCAATTACCTCCGTAGGTGACATCAGACTGGTCTATGCAGCAGGGGACGGGCTGTACAGCGAGCCACAGTGGTACGTCTGCTGCTGCCCCACTGGCAGCAGGGATGGGGGGCCTTTTGCTGCCAGGCCGTCCCTTCCTTAGTTGGAGGGGTGGTCAG